TCATTAAGTTGGACTTTGACTTCTGATATCCCTTCTTCTGCTTGAACAATTCGAGTGTTTAAACCTGTGCATACTTCTTGGAGTTCCTGTATTGTATTCTTCAGTTCCATTAATTCACTCATACTCCTCTCTAAGTTGTCTATTCTCAATAGGATTTCATCAAACCTTTTTTCAAAGTTCCTAGTTTCTTTACATTGGGCTACAACATGTTCTTTTAACTCACCGAAGTTTGTTATTATCCATTCCTTGAAGAGTGATTCTGTCATCAGGATGTGCTCGTTCTCCATCAAGCCTTGTTCCATTGTTGATGTGGAACTGTGATCATCTTTAGAGGGAGAGGCGTTCTGATTTTGAGTATTCTCAGCTTTTTTACGCTGGTTTCTTCCCGTCATTGTAAATTTATCCTCCTGCCGTCTTTGAAATTACCAACTTTCAGATTAGGTCTCTTGAGTGGACGTCCAGGTTGTTAGTTCCCAGGGCCAGAGCAGCGGCGTTAAAACTGATGGTGCTTTTCTGCCCAGGATTCTCCTGTCTGGCTTCCGTCTTGTGTCCGTAGTAGGCGACTCTGCCTTCCCAGGGCTCCAAACCTTGGTCAGAAGGGGAACCAGTCCCGTTTACTCTGCGCCAAGCGCTGCCACGCCGAGGTGCCATCACAGCCGCTGCGCCGGGCTCTGGTGTCCTGCTGGGGACCCGTGCGGGTCCTCCGAACCTGTTTACTCTGCTCCGAGAGCTGCCGCGCCGAGGTGCCGGCAGAACCGCTGCGCCGGCCACAAGAGTCACGCTGGCCACCCGTGTGTTTCCTCCACTGGGGATCATTTTGCTCCGTGAGCAACCTGAATTTGTCTGAAAGTGTGCGTCGTCTAGTTCTCCGCGCCTTCCCTGAGAGCTGCAATCCCGGGATGTTAGCGATCGGCCATCTTGGATCGTTCCTCTAGTTTTTGTATTTTTAGTAGAGATGGGGTTTTGCCATGTTGGCCCGGCTGCTCTTGAACTCCTGACCTCAAGCAATCCATATGCCTTGAGGCATCCCAAATTGCTGGGATTACAGGCGTAAGCCACCAGCTGGCCACTTGTGTCTTCTTTTAGAGTTTCTCCCCCTCTTCTCTTCTTTCTGGCTGTAAACTGCCACCTGGTTTCAGTGTCCACACACACGTCTATAGCAATCTTGCCTGTTGCTTGGGCTCTATGCTGTTTCCCAGTCGTCTCAGAATGAGTCCTCCTGTGTCACTGCACAGAACAAGTCTACTGTTACTATGTCTCTAACTCCTGCCTCCAAACTCAGCTTGTGATTTCACTTTCAAAACCCACAGGATTACTCATGTGCTCTAGCAAACAATGGAATACCTCTTAGGATTTCTTTTCTTTTTCCTCCTAGTTCAGCAAACAAAGAATGATATAGAAATGTATTTCTTTATCAGTAAAACTCATGTACTTTATTAGTGAGGAATTGTGCCTGACTTTGAATAATAAAGGCCCAAATTAAAGGGCTTAATCTAATTAAAGCTTTTTTCACACTGTATAAAAGCTTCAGAGGTAGGCAATTTGAGGCTTGTACTGTGGGCTCCTCAGTCATCTGGGCTCAAGCACTTGGTTTCTGTTTGGCCTTCCTTACGTTTCAAACTCAGTGTCCCTTTGTGGTCACAAGATGGTTGCTGGAGATCCAGCAATCATGACCAGGTTCTTTTTATTTCTTAAGAGATGGGGTCTTGCTATGTTGCCCAGCCTGGACTCAAACTCCTGGGCTCAAGCAGTGATCCTCTTGTACATGCCACCGTGCCGGGCTGATTACAACTACATTCCAGACAGGACAAAGAGGAAAGTGAGAAGGGCAAAAAGATACACCTCCCACCTGAGTTAGCCCCTTTTAAAGTTTCCAGATGCTCCACCTCTTCCACATATGTTTCTTTGGCCATCTCTAGCTGCAAGGGTGATACTTTGTTATCTCGCATAAATGGAATATTTCCTTTATGCCACTACTTTGGATTACTCTGCAGCCCACATTAGCTTATGTCCTTGTTCTCAGCCATATTCTACTTAGATGAGGTATGACGCGATTTTTTTTTTTTTTTGAGTTGGAGTCTTATTATGTTCCCCAGGCTGGAGTGCAGTGGCATGATCATGGCTCACTGCAACTTTGAATTCCTGGGCTCGAGCAATCCTTCCACCTGAGCCTCCTGTGTAGCTGGGACTATAGGCACATGCCACCATGCCTGGTGAATTTTTAAGTTTTTTGTAGAGGTAAGTTCTTGATATGTTGCCAAGGCTGGTCTTGAACTTCTGGCCTCAAGTGATCCTCCCACTTTGATCTCCGAAATGCTGTACCAATTTTTTAAATAAATGTAAATGTTTTCATTTTCATGACCCTTGGCTGTTTTCAAAGATCAAATCAATAACTGTAAAATGGACAAAACACTAAACATCAAAATCATCGAATGTAGCTAACTTGAAATGCCATCCAGGAACCACTGCAGAATTGGCAACATTGACACACTTGTCAGTTAGTTCGATTCCACATTTACTTGGTGGAATTGAGCTGACAGCGCTGGCAGTGCTGGCCAGGCATCAGCCACCTGTGGTGAACACTGGAACAATCAAAATCGCCTGTCCTTGAAGGGTTCCATCTTAGTGCCTCACAAGTAACTGAAGGCAGAGGGAAGCCGCCGATGGTTTTACACAAGCCAAAAACTGATGACATCTGTGTCTTTGAAAGCCAGCACTTTGGGAGGCCAAGGCGGGTGAATTGCCTGAGGTCAGGAGATCGAGACCAGTCAGGCCAGCCTGGTGAAACTCTGTCTCTACTAAAAATACAAGAACATTATGTGGTGGCACACCCCTGTAATCCCAGCTACTCGGGAGTCTAAGGCAGGGGAATTGCTTGAAGCAGGGAGCAGGGCGGTGGAGGTTGCAGTGAGCTGAGATCGAGCCACTGCACTCCAGCCTGGGCAACAGAGTGAGACTCCATCTCAAAAAAAAAACAGCTCAGACTAGTTAGAGTGGGAGGAGAACAGAGGATTGAGGCAGGTGATTTTGTTCCAGAGGTCAAATATTGTTCTGCATTGCTGTGTCATTGCTCTTTATTACTTGCACCCCACATTCCACACCACTTATCCGATCTTCAGATTTTTCTCACCTGAAACTTTCATTTCCATAACTACCCTACCGGAAGTTCTGGGATAGTGAAAGTTCTGAGCTCCGGAGTCTACAATGTTTTCATGAATCCATTCTTTGCACATTTACCAAGCTCTGCATATGCTCTGGGCTCTGCACTATGGGCTAGAGTTGCAGAGGGAGATCAGACTCAATTCTTGCCTCCAAGGCAGGGTCAGAGTTTTTTGGCTTCTCTTTCTACTTGAAGAGTATTAACTGTCTAAGCTGATCTTGGCTAGGGAAGGGAGATAGAGGAGATGGGCAGAGCAAAAATCTGAACAAAAATGGGCAGCCTGGGATTGATAGCAGTGAAATCAGGAGGGCAGATTTGTCCTCAGCGCCCAGTAGTACTTTTCCCTGAACCCGGAGACGGCCTCCTTCCCTTCCTCTTTCCCTTCCTCCTCCTCTGGTCTCCTCACAGCCAAGCCTGGCTTCCATTCAAACTTTCCGGAAATCCCCTACCCAATTTCCAGCTTTTCAAACAATGGGTCTCTGGAGAATATTCCCATTGTCCTTGGAACTAGAACAATGAGAGAGTAGAGTCTCCTCTCTGGCTTCAGACTACATCCCTGCGCCCAGCCTGCCCCCAACCAAAGTAAAAGCTTCCTCGATTCTCCAATCGCTGTTCCCATCTGTACTGAGGCAGGAAGACGGGGGAGGTAGAAGAAAAAGCACTTTCTTCAAGTCAACCCAGCCCCTTAAATACCACCTGGTGCCTTTCTTCTGCTAGCTAGGACAAGAATCTCTCTACAGGACTGGGATTGGACACCTGCCTGTGCTCTGGGTTGGCAAGCAAGTTTGGGTTTTGATTGCTGTGTTTTCTAAGTCTCTTTTTCTTTTTTTGAGATGGAGTCTTGCTCCGTTGCCTAGGCTAGAGTGCAGTGGCGTGATCTCAGCTCACTGCAACCTCCGTCTTCCGGGTTCAAGCAGTTCTCCTGCCTCAGCCTCCTTAGTAGCTGGGATTACAAGCTCCCACTACCATCCCAGGCTAATTTTGTATTTTTAGTAGAGACAGTGTTTCCTGATGTTGGCCAGGCTGGTCTCAAACTCCTGACCTCAAGTGATTCGCCTGCCTTGGCCTCCAAAAGTGGTGAGATTATAGGCGTGAGCCACTGCATCCAGCCTCTAAATCTCTTTTGATGCCTCAGTTTCCCCCCCCATTATTGAGGTGAGAGAACCTAGAGGCCATTCTAAAAGGATTGGCAGTCTAGTTTTCCTCACTGCCCACTCCTCTTCTACTCCCTACTCTGACCCTAGGAGATCCCTGTCCCCTTTCTACCCGGTTCAGCCAAAAGGGCTGCTGGATGGGGAGGATGCAGGCGGGCTTTTCTTGCACCATCCTGGCGCCTGACTGGGTCGGGTTACTGGAGGCAGTCTGGATTTGAATGTGCAAATAAACAGAAGTCGCTTTGATCCTTGAGGCTGACAGGGAGGGGGAAGAAAGCGGAGTGCCCTGGTCAGAGAAGTGCATGCCGGGCACTTGAAAGAGGGTTTGGGGGATGTGGAGCATGAGCTTGTCCTTATTCCTTTGACTGGACCAAAAACCTAATTTGTTAAAAAAAAAAAAAAAAAAAGGAAAGAAAGAAAAAGAGGCAGGGACCCACATCAGACGTTTCAGACCTCCTCTGGGAACCAAATATTCTAATGGCCTTTCTGCCCTGTGACCAGGAAGGGAGTGGGTTGCTTGGAGCCCACCCTCCCTCAAGGCTTTCTTGCCTTTGGGACATCTTGGGTGCCACTTGGGAGAAGGAGAAGCAGAATGGAACTATGGGGTGTGTGTGGCTCGGGGTGGGGCTGTAGGTTGGGAGGGGGTAGGGCCTATTGTGTCCCTGGGCACCAATCCACAGCCACAGGCAGGCTTAGAGGGAGAGACAAAGGAAGGAATGGGAGCGCACAAAGGGAGCGGGAATGAAATGGTAAGTAAAGGCAAACAAAAGTGAGCCGGGGGAGACAAAAGCGGGGAACAATATTCCCCAGGCAATAGGCTCGGAACAATAGGGACACTGACAGCCCCACAAAGACACCAGTGTCTCCAAGTAGACGTTATCTCAGGCAGTGGTTGGCAGCCCCGCTCTGGCTGCAGCTATTTTCAGTGCCGCTTTTGTGCCATACTGAACAATATTCCTTGCATGGCTGCTGATAGAAAGATGAGAAGGTTTCTGTTTGATTCTTCTCTTCCTTTCCTCCTCCTCCCTCCCCTTTTTCCAACCCCCACCAGTTCCAGGCAGTCTGAGCTCAAGTCACTGGCCTGGTTAGGGGTGTGTGTGTGTGTGTGTGTGTGTGGGAAGAGACCAAGTGGGGAGGGTCTCTATCAGGACTTCCAGCTGCCCTCTATCTTCTCGTGGCCTCCATGGAGGGAAGCTAGCCGAGTGGAGATTAGGTCTGGGCAATTGGGGCTGAGAACTGGAGTGTGTGAAGAGGATCATCAGAGCCGTGGATTCTGCCCTCGCCCCAAATCACAAGACAGCTTGAGTGATTGACTATAAAAGGCCCTACTTAGCAAGGGTTTTGCTGGCTTTTCACATACATAATAGCCAAGGCCATAAAGGGTCCCACCCTGTCATTCCACCTCTTCCTCCACTGTGCCCACAAGTTCCCCATGCCACCCCCACAGACACTGCTTTCTCCCATCCTTGTTTGAGATTTTACCAGTCTCTTGACTAGCTCCCAACTTCCCTCCCCACCTCTGCCACTGCCAGATGAACCTAAGAGGCCAGGGAAACTAGTCCTAGCTTGGGAAAAGACTGGGGTGCACTAGCCCTTCCTTAGGCCGTATGGCCATTCCCACAGGGGTGTCCATGACCTTCATCCACAGTCCTGGCTATTCCACTCCGTATCACCCCTGCATTCCTTTCTAGAGAAGCTCGGACCCTAGAACATTGAGTTAGAGGTGTCCTTTCCCAGGGCCCCCTTTGCACACGGCTAGGGTACTCGGTTTTCTCAGTGTCACAGCCCACTATGACTGCCCTCATGGGCTTAGATAGAACCTTACAGTTTATCATCTAGCTGATCTTCTTCTTTGTATTATTATTCTACTCAGCTTATTTTTTTTTTTTTAGGTGACTAAGCTACTAAATTTCAGTTCTTTGGCTTCCTCAAAAAAATTGAGACCAAATTTCTTGGAAAGGCTTTTATATAAAAATTTCACCAGGTGTGGTGGCTCATGCTGCAATCCCAGCACTTTGGGAGGCCGAGGCAGGTGGATCACCTGAGGTCGAGAGTTCAAGAACAGCCTCACCAACATGGAGAAACTCAGTCTCTACTAAAAATACAAAATGAGCCGGGCGTGGTGGTGTGTGTGTCTGTAATCCCAGCTACTTGGGAGGCTGAGGCAGAACTGATTGGGAGGCAGAGGTTGTGGTGAGCCAAGATCACCCCATTGCACTCCAGCCTGGGCAACAGGAGGGAAACTCCGTCTTAAAAAAAAAAAATTCGGGCTGGGCACGGTGGCTCACGCCTTTAATTCCAGCACTTTGGGAGGCCAAGGAGGGTGGATCACGAGGTCAAGAGACTGAGACCATGCTGCTCAACATGGTGAAACCCCATCTGTACTAAAAATGCAAAAAACTAGCTGGGCATGGTGATGCGTGCCTGTAATCCCAGCTACTCGGGAGGCTGAGGCAGGAGAATTGCCTGAACCCAGGAGGTGGAGGTTGCAGTGAGCCGAGATCGCGCCATTACACTCCAGCCTGGGTAACAAGAGCGAAATTCTGTCTCAAAAAAAAAAAATTCAAGCAGATGCCATCCTAAGAGTCTAGATATTCAGGTTGACCCAGAAGGTTGAGTCATTGTGTAATCTGTGGGACTTGTGGCTATTTGTCCAGCTTTCTTTTTCTTTTCCTTTTTTTTTTGTTTTGTTTTTGTTTTTGTTTTTGAGTCTTGCTCTTGTCATTCAGGCTGGAGTGCAATGGCATGATCTTGGCTCACTGCAACATTCGCCTCCTGGATTTAAGTGATTCTCCTGCCTCAGCCTCCCAAGTGGCTGGGATTACAGGTGCCCACCAGCATACCCGGCTAACTTTTGTATTTTTAGTAGAGACAAGATTTCACCGTGCTGGCCAGGCTTGATATTTGTCCAGCTTTCTAAATATAAGTTAGCTTTTTGAAGGCAGAAAATACTTTCATACCTCTACTGGCTGCTTCATGGCATCATGGTACGCAATGAGTTCTCAATGAGCACTTGCTGAATTGGACTGAATTTAGAGAATCAGAAGGGACCTTAAACTTCATCTAATACCTTGCCACTCAAAACGTTGTCTCTGGCCCAGCAGCATCAGCATCACCTGAGAACTTGATAGAAATGCAGAATCTGAGGCTTCCTGAATCAGCACCTACGTTTTAAACAGGCTTCCCTGGTAATCCATAAGACACACACAACTGGTCTAGTACAGCTTCTTCCTCCCTTCCTTCCTTAAACTACTACCTGTTTTATAACATTATCACCATTCATTACCTAGAATCTTAGAAACTGTGAGCTAGACTAGGCCATCCAGCTGGCAGCTACAGAAAGACCTCGGTGGACAAAAACTCACTATCTGTGGTAACAGCCAGTTCCACAGTCAGAATAATATCAGACAGAACAGAACTAAATTTGCATTGAAAGAGCCTTGGGAATGGGACTTTGCACTTAGTATATACTTAAAGCTTGTGGAGGGAAATGTCTAAATAGTCTATTATTACCTCCCTTGAATTATTCCTATAATAGTTCATTTTATGTGTCAACTCAACTGGGACATGAGGTGCCCAGACATTTGGTCAAACATTATTCGGGATGTGCCTGTGGAAGCATTTCTGGATGAGCTAAACATATGAATCAGAAGACTGTGTGAAGCAGATTCTCTTCCCTAATATGGGTGAGCCTCATTCAATCAGTCAAAAGCCTGAATAGAACAAAAATGCTCAGTAAAACGGAATTGTATCTGTCTGACTGCTTGAACTAGGATGTTGGTCTTCTGCCTTTGGCTCTAACTGAAACATCAGCTCCTTGTGGGTCTCAATCTTGCTGGCTTTTGAACCTCAATTTATACCACTTGCTGTCTGGGACTCAGGCCTTCAGACTTGGACTAGAACTATACTGTTGCTCTCGGGTCTCTAGCTTGCTGAGTGCAGATCTTGCAACTTCTTAGCCTCAATAATCACATGAACCAATTTCCCTAGTACCTCTCTCTCTCTCTCTCTCTCTCTCTCTCTCTCTCTCTCTCTCTCTCCTCTCTCTCTCTCTCTCCTCTCTCTCTCTCTCTCTCTCTCTCTCTCTCTCTCTCTCTCTCTCTCGCTTTCTCTCTCTCTCTCATCAGAAACACACACACACACACACACACACACACAGCTTATACTGTTTCTCTGGAGAATTCTACCTAATGTACATTTTGGTAGTGAGACATGAGGTGCTGCTGTAACAAATATCTAAACATGTAGAAGTGGCTTTGGAACTGGGTAATGGGTAGAAGCTGGAAGATTTTTAAGGTGCATGCTAGAAACATGGGTGTTAAGGGTAATTCTGGTGAGATGTCAGACAGAAATGAGGATCATGTTGTTGGAAACTGGAGGAAAGGCAACCTGTTATAAAGTGGTGAAGAAGACTGGGCATGGGGGCTCACACCTGTAATCCCAGCACTTTGAAAGGCTAAGGTGGGCAGATCACTTGAGGCCAGAAGTTGATACCAACCTGGTCAACATGGTGAAACCTCAGCCATCTCTACTAAAACTACAAAAATTAGCAGAGTGTGGTGGCACATGCCTGTAATCCCAGCTACTTGGGAGGCTGCGGCATGAAAATTGCTTGAACCCAGGAGGTAGAAGTTGCAGTGAGCCAAGATGACAGTGCACTGCAGCATGAGTGACAGAGCAATACTTTGTCTCAAAAATAAATAAATAAATAAATAAATAAAGTGGTGAAGTGTTTTGTGGAAAGCAGAACTTATAAGCAACATAATTGGATATTTAGCTAAGGAGATTTCTAAGCAGAGTGTTGAAGGAACAACTTTGTTCCTCCTGACTGCTTACAGAAAAATCAGAAAGGAAAGAAATGAGTTGAAAAAGGAATTGTTAAGCATAAAGAAACAAGAAATAGAGGATTTGAGAAAGTCTATCCATATTGAAAACAATAAAAGGAAAGAAACAAAAAATAAAAAAATTTATTCTGAAAAAAAAAACAAAAAACAAAACTAAGGCTGAACAGCTATTTGATAAAGAGGTCATGAGTAAGACTCATAAACTTCATCAACCTTCTTAGCAAAACCAGGAATAGAGATGTGATTATACCAGCAAAGACATTGCCAGTTTGAACTAAATAAAGCAGAGAAAACAAGATGAAATAAAATAAGGCTGTGGACTTCTCAGATCCTTATTCTGCAAGTAAAGTGAAGAATGACCTCAAAGGCAATTCAGATATCATCAGGGCGGCCTCCTTGGTTTCAAAGGATGGTGTGATTGCCTCAGTTTCAAGAGGCCAGACAGCCTCCGACTGAAGCCTTGTGGGTGGGGCCACACTGTGGAGCCCTGAGGGTATAAATCCCTGTGGGGCAGAGCTGTGAAGGTGAGACTACTCCTCCAGTAGTTCCTAAATGTGGGACAGACTTCCTGGTGGGTCTGAAAGGCAGAGCATTGAACTAAAGATCATTATTTTTGAGAATTAAAATTTAATAGAATTTGTCTTGCTAGATTTTGGAGTTGCTTGGGATCATCATCCCTTTCTTCTTTCCAGTTTCTCCCTTTTGGAATGGGAATGTCTATCATATGGCTGTCCACCATTGTATCTGGAAGTATATAACTTGTCTGGTTTCACAGGTTCACAGCTGGAGAGGAATTTTGCCTCAGGATGAATGTACTGCAAGTCTCACTCATATCTGATTTAGATAATATTTAGACGAGACTTTGGACTTTAGAATTAATGCTGGAAGCTTTGCACAGTGGCAGTATTGTAGCCAATGAGGTTTGTCCAAGGCACGATTATTGCTAATCGAAAACTTTTCCCAATACTCTGCTGTGATGACTTGCAATACAGTTGGCACTGGCAATTTTTGACAGTCTCTACAGAGACTGAATTTAAAAAAAAAAGGAATTAATGCTGGAATGTGTTAAGATTTTAGGGAAGAAGATGTAAATATAATAAAAGTTTTAAAAAGAAGATGTAAATATAATAAAATTAAAAAACAAAATTTTAGTTGGTATTCAAGCTGGGTGAAGTGGCTCACACCAGTAACCCAACACTTTGGGAAGCCAAGATGGGTGGATCACTTCAGGTCAGGAGTTCGAGATCAGCCTGGCCAACATGGTAAAACCCTCTCTCTACTAAAAATACAAAAATTAGCTGTGTGTGGTGGTGGGAACCTATAATATCAGCTACTTGGGAGGCTGAGACATGAGAATCACTTGAACTTGGGTGGCAAAGGTTGCAGTGAGCCAAGATCCCACCATAGCACTTCAGCTTGGGTGAGAGAGCAAGACTCCATCTCAAAAAAATTTTTTTTAAATAAAATTTAAAAATTGGTATCCAAGAAGATGTAAATATAATAAAATTTTAAAATAAATTTTAAAATTTAAGACTAGGAACTGTGGTTCATGTCTGTAATCCCAGCACTTTGAGAGGCGAAGGCAGGTGGATCGTGAGGTCAAGAGATCGAGACCAACCTGGTCAACATGGTGAAACCGCATCTCTACTAAAAATACAAAAATTAGCTGGGTGTGGTGGTGTGCACCTCTAATTCCAGCTACTAGGGAGTCTGAGACAGTATAATTGCTTGTACCCAAGAGGCAGAGGTTACAGTGAGCTGAGATCATGCCACTGCACTCCATCCTGGAAACAGAGTGAGATTCTGTCTCAAAAAAAAAAAAAATTTAAAAAATATTTTCGAGGCTGTTGAGATGGAGAAAACATATTCTACATGCAATGAAGACATGATTTTTCTGTGGGGGTAGGGGCAGCATGCTATAGACTGAATTGCAAATGTTGGAGTTCTAACCTTAAAATGTGACTGGGTTTGGAGTAAGGAAGTAATCAAGATTAAATGAGGTCGGCCCGGCTCAGCGGCTCAAGCCTGTAATCCCAGCACTTAGGGAGGCCGAGGCGGGTGGATCACGAGGTCAAGAAATCGAGACCATCCTGGTCAACATAATGAAAACACATCTCTACTAAAAATACTAAAAATTATCTGGGCATGGTGGCACGTACCTATAATCCCAGCTACTCAGGAGGCTGAGGCAGGAGAATTGCCTGAACCCAGGAGGAGGAGATTGCGGTGAGCCGAGATCGCGCCATTGCACTCCAGCCTGGGTAACAAGAGCAAAACTCCGTCTCAAAAAAAAAAAAAAAAAAAGATTAAATGAGGTCATAAGGGTAGAGCCCTGACAGGATTAGGATCCTTGTAAGAAGAGGCACCAGAGAGCTCACTCTTTCTCTCCCTGCCATGTGCAGACATCGTGAGAAGGTAGCCATCGGTAAGCCTGGAAGACAGCCCTCATCAGAAACCAACTCTGCAAGACCGTGGTCTGGGACTCCTGGCCTCCAGAACTGCAAGCAATTAAATACCTGTTGATGAAGGCACACAGTCTGTGGCATTTTGTTATGGCAGCTCTTGAAGACTGATATACTCCATAATGATGGAAAGGAGAGGCTACTAGGCCTGAAGCAGGCTTGCGCAGGGTGGACTGAGGGCTCTGAAGGGCCACACAGAATCTCATTATTCTTCCAAAGTAGAGGTGGTAACATTTACTCTTTTCTTTTGATGTCCTTGGCACAAACCAAGACAACAGCAGAGTGAGCCCCAAACTCAATGCAATTCCCAGGCGGGGATAGATACCCAAGACCATTACGATTATCCCAATTCAAAACTCTTTTCTCAGGCTGAAAGATTTCGCTGCTATTGTTCAGGTAAAGGTGCTGTTTCCTCTCTTGTGGGGTGTGGGGGGAGTTACTAATGAATAGAATCACATTTCTACAATTAAAAATTGAAATGTTTTTCTCCCATAGATTAGCAAAAAACACCACTATTGGTGCCCACTTATACCGAGCATTATTCACGTGGTCATTTTAATCCTAATGTGTTAAATTGTATCAGGGCCGGTAAAGATCATCAGGACTCCTATATATTCAACCAATCTAAACAGATTTATGAATCATTTCTGAGTGTTTATTTGATTTTCTTTCTCTATCAAACCAGTCAATTCCCTCCAATAAGATAAATAGCAATGGGAATTTCTGATGTATGGACAGTCATGTTTTAGGAGGAGAGGAGGGTGGTTGGGGCGAGTAATCTATTTTCTAGCCAAACTGGAAAATCTGCTTTTCAGAAGTTTCCTCCTGACTCCTCCCACCCCCACTCCCCACATCAAGGGAGGGCAGAGAAGGAAAAAGACATTAAAGTTTGGATTAAACCACCATTGTGCATGTTTATAATTCATTCCAAACAACAGAGGACAAGGACAGAAGCTTAAAACAAAATTCAGCTGGGAGCAGTGGCTCATTCCTGTAATCCCAACATTTTGTGAGGCCAAAGTGGACAAATCATGAGGTCAGGAGTTTGAGACCAGCCTGGTCAACATGGTGAAACCCCAGCTCTACTAAAAGTACAAAAAAATTAGCTGGTCATGGTGGTGGGTGCCTGTAATCCCAGCTACTTGGGAGGCTGAGGCAGGAGAATTACTTGAACCTGGGAGGCGGTGGTTGCAGTGAGCTGAGGTCATGCCACTGCACTCCAGCCCTGGCGACATGTAAAGTAACCATAAGCTCGAGGTCTGATTTTTAGAATTAATAACACACTGTGGGCCTGGCAGAGTGGCTTATGCCTATAATCCCAGCACTTTGGGAGGCCGAGGTGGGCAGATCATGAGGTCAGGAGTTCAAGAGCAGCCTGGCCAACATGGTGAAACCCCACTCTACTAAAGATTAAAAAAAATTAGCCGGGTGTGTTAGCGAATGCCTGTAATCCCAGCTAGTTGGGAGGCTGAAGCAGGAGAGTCGCTTGAACCCAGGAGGCAGAGGTTGCAATGAGCTGAGGTCGAGCCAGTGCACTCCAGCCTGGGTGACAGGGAGAGACCCCACCTCAAAAAAAAAAAAAAAAAAAAAATATATATATATATATACACATATGTATATGGTGTGTTTTTGTTTTGTGTTAGGCTCTACTTATACCTCTAGAGCTAGTTCTAGCATTGTTGCACCATCCTCCCCGCTTGAGATGGTTCTGATCTGTGTCCCCACCCAAATCCTACGTTCAATTGTAATCCCACTGTTGAAGGTGGGGCCTGGTGGGAGGTGATTGGATCGTGGGGGTGGATCCTTCCTGAATGGTTTAGCTCCATCCTTTTTTGGTCCTGTTCTTGTGTCAAGAGTTCTCATGAGACCTGGATCTCTCTCTCTTCTTCCTGTGAAGGGGCCTGCTTCCAGCCATGTGAAGATGCCTGCTGCAGCCTCGCTTTCTGCCATGAATAAAAGCTCCATGCTTCCTGTACAGCCTGCAGAATCGAAAGTCAATTAATTCTCTTTATGAAATACCCGCTTGTGGACATTTCTTTATAGCAGTGTGAAAATAGACTAATACCCCACTCCCTGACCACGTATCCTCCCCTCACCCAACGCACAGCTGGAATCAGGTGTGTTGTCAGTTTCCCTGTAAAGGCTCATATCCAGTTGGTGTACAGAGGGTTCACGGAGACTGGCATCTGAATGGTACTGCCTGGAATGAGCAGTGATAGGGCCCAGTCCATTTCTGCTTCTCAAATTGATGCCCCATCAGTGAGGCACAAAAGTGATTCCCACTCCCTGCCACCAGTCCCAGACCATACTGCCCAGGTGGCTCATTGCTGGTGCTGTGGCTCTGCCCGCTGCCTTTGTGGGAGAAATGTAATATTAGCCAACCTTCAGGGTTAGGAGGTATTAATTTAGGGTGTGCTGGTGTACTAGGTGTTCAGTACCAAGGGCTATTCTTCTTCTAGGTAAGAAGTTTTAAATTTTGAGTTAAAACTGTCCTTTTCTTTAAAATTCTGATAAAAACTCAGGCATTCTAGGATTAATTCCCTGATTAAACTGACAAACACATGATCATGGAACACTGCCCTGTTCTTGGACTCATTGTTACATTTATCTTTGCCATGTTTATTTTCGCTCTCAGGTTTTTGTTTTCTGCACCCATTCCTGGTCTGAATTTTCTCTACGAGCCATCCTGCTGCTTTCATCGGGCACTGAGCTACGTGACGAAAGAGGCCTTATCTAGTCCCGCCTCAGGAGCAAAATCAAGTTAAAAAATCATTTTCAATAGCCATTGTATGCAAGACAATGCCTAAGATGAGGACTGAAGATGAGCAAAGGATACAATAATTGGATGCCACTCCTGTTTTGTTTTTGAGACTGAGTTTTGCTCTTGTTGCCCAGTCTGGAGTGCAATGGCATGATCTCGGCTTACTGCAACCTCTGCCTCCTGGATTCAAGTGAGTCTCCTGCCTCAGCCTCCTGAGTAGCTAGGATTACAGGCGTGTGTCACCATGCCCAGCTAATTATGTACTTTTAGTAGAGATGGAGTTTCTCCATGTTGGTCAGTCTGGTCTCGAACTCCCGACCTCAGGTGATCTGCCCACCTCAACCTCCCAAAGTGCTGGGATTACAGGCATGAGCCACCATGCCCAGCCACTCCTGTTCTCAAGTAGTTTAGAGCTAGTTGGAAAGATAGACATAGGTGTAATGTAAACTAATATTGCCAGGAGCCTGTAATCCCAGCACTTTGGGAAGCTGAGGAAGGTGGATCACCTGAGGTGGGAAGTTCAAGACCAGCCTGACCAACATGGAGAAACCCTGTCTTTAAAAAAAAAAAAAGAATGTGAACTAATATTGTGATGTCAACTTAGTAACTGAAGATGGCAATAAAATAGAAGTGAGAATTGAATTACATACCTATTAGAATAGTCAAAATCCAGAACACATACACCACCAGATGCTGATGAGGATGTGGAGCAATAGGAACTCTCATTTACTGTGGGAGAATGCAAAATTGTGTGGCCCCTTTGGAAGACAGTTTGGTGATTTCTTACAAAACTAAGCATACTCTTTTCATATGATCCAGAAATTGCACTCTTTTGTATTAATTCAAAGGAGCTGAAAATCTATGACCATACAAAAACCTGCACATGGATATTTATGGCAGCTTTTTTCATAATTGCGGAAACTTGAAAGCAACCAAGATCTCCTTCAGTAGGTGAATGGTTCGTTAAATTGTGGTTCCTCTAAACAATGGAATTATTTAGCACTAAAAGGATATGAAATATCAAGCCATGAAAAGGAAAACTTAAATGAATATTACTGAATTTTTGAAAATGGAGGAAATTTGAATGCATATTATTAAGTCTTAAAAAAAGAAAGCTGGCTGGGTGTGGTGGCTCATGCCTATAATTCCAGCATTTTGAGAGGGCGAGGTGGGCAGATCACCTGAGGCTGAGAGTTTGAGACCAGCCTGACCAACGTGTAGAAACCCATCTCTACTAAAAATACAAAATTAGCCGGGTGTGGGGGCACATGCCTGTAATCCCAGCTACTAGAGAGGCTGAGGCAGGAGAATCGCTTGGACATGGAAGGTGGAGTTTGTGGTAAGCTGAGATCATGCCATTGCACTCCATCCTTGGGCAACAAGAACAAAGCTTTGTCTCAAAAAAAGAAAGAAAGAAAATTAGCTGGGCGTGGTGGCCCATGCCTGTAATCCCAGCTACTTGGGAGGCTGAGGCAAGAGAATTGCTTGAACCTGGGAGGCGGAAGAATTGCCTGAACCTGGAAGGCAGAGGTTGCGGTGAACCAAGATCACACCATTGCACTCCAGCCTGGGCAACAAGAGCAAAATTCCACACACACACAAAAAAAGCCAATCAAAAAAGTTACATACTCTATGTGTCCAAAAGTTACATACTCTATATGACATTCTGGTAAAGGTAAAACTATGGAGATGGATGAATAGGCAGAACACAGAGGATCTTTGAGGTGGTGAAACAATTCTGTATGACACCATAATGGTGGATACATGTAACTTTATGCTTGTCCAAACCCACAGAATCTACAATACCAAGAGCGAACTCTCGTGTTAACTGCAGTCTTTGGGCAATAATGATGTGTTGACATAGGCTCATAACTGTAGCAAATGTACCACTCTGGTGTGGGATGTTAATAATGGGGAGGCTGTGATGTGTGGAAGCAGGGGGCCTCTAGGAACTCTTTATACCTTCTGCAATTTTGCTGTGAGTCTAAAACTGCCCTAAAAAAATAAAATATGTATTTTTGTAAGTTAGAAGAAAGCATATGAATGTTCAAAGAAGATAGAGTCTATGTAGGCAATAAAGGAGACAGTGGAAAAGGGACCTTGAAGTAAAGGTGGAATTGGCCAGGCAAGAAGGATAAGGAAGACTATTATAGCCCTGGGAAATAGTATAAACAAAGACACAGTCAGTTCTGCTCTAAGTCCTGTTTTGAAAACATGAATTTGTTTCAACCCGATTCATATATTAGGGAGCAATGTGAGTGTAATACAGATTTTGCATTTGCTTGTGCATGATTTTGCCCTGAGAAACACTAGATGAACAGAGAAAACTCTACTCAGCTGAACCAAACAGGGCAGAAGTACACAAAATGCACACAGGACACCTCTCACATTTCTACCACCTAACTGAGTTTACAGGGTGTGGAAACCCTCTTTCCGCCACGTCACAGTAACTCATAAGCTACACCCCTTCCAACAACCACTTCCATGTACAAAATTAATGTCTGTTTCAGGATACTGTGCCATATTTATTGCATCATGTATGTATTTCTTAACAATTTAATGTGTGAACTGTGCTATAATTTTATTAGATTCCTATCTTTTTTCTTCTTATTGTGACAAAACTTCTGAATGATATAACCCAACTCTATTTTTCCCATTAGCCCTATTGTTTTTGGGGTTATTTTTTTTTTAATTGAGGTGGAGTCTCATTCTGTTGCCCAGGCTGGAGTGCAGTGGCACTATCTTGTCTCACTGCCACCTCCGCCTCCTGGGTTCAAGCAAGTCTCCTGCCTCAGCCTCCCAAGTAGGGACTATAGGTGCTCACCACCACACCCGGCTAATTTTTGTATTCTTAGTAGAGATGGCGTTTCAGCATGTTGGCCAGGCTGGTCTCAAACTCCTGACCTCAGATGACTGTCCACCTCAGCTTCCCACAGTGCTGGGATTACAGGCATGAGCCACTGCGCCCAGCCAGCCCTGTAGTTTTTATCTCATGCTTTCTGCATAACAGGGTGATTTTAGGAGCACAGATGTTGTGCTACAGCAAAACTGACTGCACGGGTTATGGAATAAAAATCTTGAAGAACTGTGAGTAAATGATTAGGATCACCAATTTGTATAGAAGAATTTTCAGATGAAAGGCTGGGATCAGACTCCTTCATTCATTTATGTATTCATTTGACCAATATTCGTTGAGTCCCTCCTGTATGCCAGACTCTGTTCTGAGTGTTGGAGACACGGCAGTGAAAAAAACAGACACAAATCCTTGCCCTGTGGCAATTTACATCCTAGTTGGGGAGATAAACAAACCCAAAATAAATAAATAAAATCCATAGTGTGTTAGGTAGTAATCAAAGCCAAGATGAAAAGCATAAAGCAGAAGAGTCAATGTGACATGTCAGGGATGGGTTTGGCTATGATCTATATTAGCTTTTGCTACATAACAAATTATCCCAAAACTTAACAACTTAACAACTTTATTCTCTTGCATAGTTTCTTTTTCTTTTTCTTTCTTTTTTTTTTTTTAGACAGGGTCTCACTCTGTTGCCCAGGCTGGAGTGCAGTGGGGTGATCTTGGCTCACTATAGCCTCTGCCTCCAGGTTCAAGCAATTCTCATGCCTCAGCCGCCCGAGTAGCTGGGACTACAGATGTGCACCACCATGCCCAGCTGTTTTGTATTTTTAGTAGAGATGGGGTTTCACTGTACTGCCCAGGCTTGTCTCAAACTCATGACCTCAAGTGATCCACCCACCCAAAGTGCTGAGATTATAGGCATGAGCCACCATGCCTGGCCTCATATCGTTTCTGAGGGTTAGGAAAACAGGAGTGGCTTACCTGGAGTGGCTCTGGCTCAGGATCCTTCACGAGCTTGTAGTCAACGTATGTGCTGTGAACTTCCATGCTTACTCAAATGGCTGTTGGCAAGAGGCTTCAGTTCCCTCTCCCACCAGAGGACTGCCTATGATATGGCCACTTGTCATCACCGGAGAGAAGGCTTCTGAAGGGAGGGGCTACCTGCTCAAGATGAAAGCTGAAATCTTTTTAAAAAAGCAATTTTTTTTCTTTTTTCTTTTTCACTTCTGTAGAGATAAGGTTTTGCCATGTTGCCCAGGCTGGTTTCAAACTCTAAGCAATCTACCCATTCTAGCCTCCCAGTGTTGGGATTATAGGTATGAGCCACCACACCAGGCCCTGCAATCTTTTATAACTGAGTATCAGTGGTAGCCTGGTAGAGTTTGGATGTGTGTTCCTACCAAAATCTCATATTGAAATGCAATCCCCAGTGTTGGAGGAGGGGCCTGGAGGGAGGTGACTGGATCATGGGGTGGAGTTCTCATGAATGGTTTAGCACCGTCCCCATTGGTACTGTCCCTGTGGTAGTGAGTGAGTTGTCATGAGATCTGGTCATTGAAAAATGAGCAGCACCTCCTCCCTGGCTCCTTGCTCCTGCTCCAGTCATGGGACGAGCTTGCTCCCCCTTTGCCTTTGGCCGTGATTTAAGTTTCCTGAGGCCTCCCCACTAGCAGAAGTTGTTATGCTTCCTGTATGGACTGCAGAACCATGAGCCAATTAATTTTTTCTTCATAAATTACCCAGCCTCTAAAATATTTCTTTTCTTAACATTTTTATTTGATTTAGTTTATTTATTTATTTTGAGATACAGTCTCATTCTATCACCCAGGCTGGAGTGCAGTGGCACGATCTCAGCCCACTACAACCTCCACTTCCTGGGTTCAAGCAATTCTCCTGCCTCAGCCTCCTGAGTACCTGGGACTACAGGCACGAGCCACCATGCCTGGCTAATTTTTGTATTTCTAGTAGAGATGGGGTTTCA